GAAGACAAAACCGGATGGCGGCTCTTTGCACCATCTCCAGGACCGTCAACGGGCCAAAAAGCGACAGTTTCATCTACAGTTCTGATGACGAGGGTGCGGCCAGCTCGCAGACACAGACTTGCTCGCTCCGGTGGCAGCCAAAGTTGCCACTGGTGCCACCCCTTGCACTGAGGAGTTTTGTATCACTCTCGTACGACGGCTGGTACAGAACTGGAAGCGACCAGGACCTTGAGGAGATAAGCGAGTTCTCGTCAGAGGACAAGGGGGACTCGGAGATCAAGACGGCGGTGCGGAGCAGCGGGGTTGATGCGTGAGAGGATCGTGCTGATGCCGTGTTTGTTTTTTGTTCCATTCTCGCTGATATACGTGCCATATAATTATGTTTCCGTGTGTTTGCAGCGAATGGGGGACTGAGCATGATGGAGGAGGAGCACAAGTTGAGTGAGCGCGGTGGAATGAGGACAAGCTGGACGCTCATGCGCGCGAACAACAACACCGCATTCCGCATTCGGTACGTGAGCGCGTGAGCGCTTACATGCCAGGATAGATACCGCCTCCGCGCCAACTGATTGTGTTTGTGTTCTACTCCATCATGACGACCTGCAGTATTGTACGTACTACAAATCATACCGATGGCTGGACCTCCGGAGGCATGCACGCAATTGATTTGCAGAGATCCTGGTCCAAGTGCCGAATTTGTACATGCGGGCTCCCCATGTCTCGCGAGCGCATCACAGTTTTGATGGACATATTATAAACTCGAGATCTACACACCCGTGATGATACCATGTATGTGACCAAACACAAGGAGCTGGCCAGACATGCAGGATAGGGATGCTCAGGACAAGCAGGAGGCCTGCGGGATCCAAGTGTCCCTGCTCTGCATGTCTGGCTCTGTCAGATGTGAGGGCACGAGCAAGCATGCAGGATCACACATTTACGGCATTTTAGAGAGACCGGATAGTATCACAAAATGTTCGGGTGGAAATAGGATGTCCGGGAAGAGGGAAGAAAGCGCACCCTTCCGAGAGATCAAAAGATACATCAGACTAACGGAGCTGCCACGCATACATGTCCCTGGTATGCGATCTCGCCGCGACCCCCACCACCATCCTGCCCACCCGCCCGCGGTTGGACCACCTTCCCAGGCACTCACCATCAACTGCTTTCCTCGTCCCCGTCACTCATGCTCCCCTCTGCCTGTGGCACTACAAGGGTAAGTGTTCCATACAATGTGTGGCATTCCAACACAGGCCTGGTACACGCAAGAGAGCCGCCAGCTTACCAGTTTCGCAGACAGCAAGAGCAGCTCGCAATCGTACCCGTGCCATGGCGCGCACACACACGCACATGCACAGAGCTCCCGATGTCCCAGGATGTGCGCAGCACCCTGCTGCAAACCACACAACATCAGGTCCGATGTCATGCATACAAGCTCATGGGCAGTGCTGGTGAGTGCAATCTCTATTCGCAGGATGTCCAGATACTTACTAGACACTACCTAGCAGGTTTCGGCCCCTCGGTACGGGCTGCGAAGGGCGCATGCGCTGGCGAGACAAGCAACGAGCTCGCCATTGCTGAAGATGGCCGTTGAGCGCGTGCCCACATCGTCGATTCCCTACAGATGCGACGCACGCAGCGGAAGACCAGCCGTCGAGAGGCACCTGGGGAGAGGGTTGCGAGTTTGATACTGGAGATGATCGTCAGTGCAGGCTATCTACAAAAGGCAAAGGTGAGAGTCGAAACCATCACTCTGTTCTGCTTCGAATCCTTGCCGCCGGGGCTGCGAGCAATGGCGGGCCGGCAGCGGGCTCGGGACGGGCGACCGACTTGCCTGTTACTAACATCCCCTCGCCTCGCGCCAGCAGCCGTCAATATCGAGCTGCACGATTCCGAAACACATGGATCTCCTGACAAAGATTGCGTGAGTCTACAGCTGCCGCGCGGGAGGTGCCCCGGGCCAGCTTTCACAGGCCTATGTATGTTCATAGGCTCCGGGTGCCTGGTATGCATACGTCGCCTGTGCTCTCAAACTCGCCCGTAGCACCCTAGAACATCCGCCGCAGATGGTGAGTCGCCGGTGTATTGGGGTCAACAATGCGCGTACTGACACTTGCCCGCGCCGGCCGTTGATAGCGGAGGCGCCCAAGCGAGCTGGCCTGCGAGTGGCTGGCGCCGTCCAGAGGGGGCAAGAGCAGCATGCGACAATGCTCGGCAAACGTCTCCGTTGGCGATTCGCAGGGGCTGCCTTGCGCGCGCCATGGTCGCCTGCGCATCCGGCCCGCTCTCGGACACTCCCGCACCCACCCCGAGCTCGCCCTCTCGCATCCTGTCACTCTCCCGCGCTTTGAGTTCGCGCGCGCTGGTCAAACATGCGCCATGCGCAACCGGCACACGCTCCCGAGCTGTGAGTGGATCGTGCTGAGCGTACTCATCGCCTGGCGGCCAGCGGCCACCAGCGTGGCACGAGCGGCACGCGACCACGATCACAATATGATGCTGCTCGCGCCGCGGGCAGACCTCGCGTTGACCGGATATTTTACTCACTCTTGCGGCAGGTGGTGAGCTGCACGGGAGAACACTTACCGGCTGAGCTGACAGGAGTCTGCACGGCCAGCGGCCACCATACTCGGCGGGCGACACGCAATCAGCGGCCGTGCGAGGGCCTGGACTCGATCTATTCTCGTGCCGAGGGATGATCTACAGACAAGGGTGAGCACTACACCAGCGTCGCGAATGAGCACTGACCTTTGGAACCTATTAGTTTCCGTGCCTGCGTGGCCGGCGGCGGCGGAACTGGACGAACTCGTCGGGCGTGTGTGAACGTGCACGGGTACGACGACATCGTCACCGTGATGGAGATCAGCATCCGGCCAGTGCAGTGTACGCGCGGGGCTTCCATCGTGGCTGTCCGCCGAGAGGAGGTGAGTGCCTAAGAGGGACCGGTCGCGCAGCCAGAGACTCCGAGAGCGAGCAGCTGACAAGTCCGTCTATGGCGTCGAAGCCCAGGAATAAGTGACTAATAAGCATGCAGATACCAGAGCATATGGAACGTTAGACGTCGCGCGAAGGCAGCGCGCCTGGAGTTGAGGCAGACATCGTGGTCGGGACGAAAGAGTCTCTCGACAAGCGCCGGTGCTCGCTTGCGGCGCTGGACCCACAAACGGCGCCTCTTTCTGTCCTCTCTACCACTTTCGCGCCTCGCACACGCCGCCGTTTCCGCCTCCCGTCTCGTTTCTCACTCGCAAATCCCCCGCGTTTTCTCGTCCGGAACACATAGAATGCGACATGTTTTCTCTGCGAGTTTTTCGCGAACTCTGTCCCGCGATTCAAATGCGCTTACTTCAAGTTCCCTACGATACACATCGTTCTCGTCCAAATAGTGTATTCTGTCGTTCAGCGCACCTGTAATAGAGCTATTTTGCTCTCTGCGAGGTCCTCCTGGCCGCCTTCCTTCCGCCCACCAAGCAGCCGCTGCAGTGCTCTCCCCCGTCTATCCGAGTCTCTTGTGCACCACCATATATCCCCTGTGCCCCCTCTCTATTCCTACGATACAGACAGAGTCCCACAACATCAACGGCCACTTGATCCCCTCGCAGCCGTCGCCGCCCGCGATGTTCCGACATATATATTGCGTGACTCTGCCGCTACGCCGATGATACACAGCCAACGCCCGCCGCACCGCGCACAATTTTGGCATGTTTGTTCGCTCTCCCCGAGCGTATAAGTAGCCTGAGATAAAGTTTTCATCGACGCGTCTCTCCCGCACGCCCATCCCCCTCTGTACCGAACCGCAATGACCTTGGCAAGGTGAGTATCCATCCGACCAGGCGAGCGATGATGCTATCTATATATTCCCAAACATCCGAACGCCCCGCGCGTCGTGAACTCACTGCTATAGTCCCTGAGCCGCCTGCCCGTTCACATCGCTGTGTGCTTGCCGGCTCAGGCGTGTACTCACACATCTCCTCCTGCTCAGGAACGCGTCGCGATGGGGTGCGCTCGGAGGACTGGTTGCTGTGAAGGTACGTGTCCAGATCCTTTTCCATATCCCCTCGCCCCCATGCTTCGCGTCGTGCTTGATGACAATACTATTCACACTGGATGAACGTCCGTTGCTACGGCACGGATGGACATGAGTAAAACCTTTTCTACAACGGTATCTGACACGCTATTTCCCATCTCTTCTCGTTTCTGCATGTGCGAATGAGAGCAGTTTGGCTGACGAACGGTTACCTCCATAGGTTTACTATCAAGTTGACAAGTCGGGGAGGGTCTGTAGCTGTATAAGTATAGGGTATCCTAGTGTTCTGGCACAAAGCAATATATTCGTCGCACACATCATACATCGATCGAACACAGCAAAAGAGAGCGGATAGGTACAAAAGGCACATGAGATCGAAGGCATGCATTCATGCGATGCTATCGTCGAGAAGCTTCTCGTCGTCGAACGCATCTGGCGGAAGCTGCCCCTGTATCTGGCTGAGAGCACCCTTGAACACGTACAAGAACGGCCCAGACTTGGCGGGCGGGGGCGTGGACTGGTACGCAACAGGCAGCGCGCAGCGTGGACAATGGAACCTGTACTGTTTCTCATGCCCACCTTGTCTGATAGCGTAGCGCAATGAGCCTGAGGGATCGCGTCTCGCTCGCCTGGGCGACAGCGGGAAACGCGGACTCACCGCTCTACGAGGATTGGCTCCTTGGGCGTGGCGTTCAGCTTGAAGATCCGCGCCTTGGCGTCGTCCGCGTCCTGGCAGCGAATGATAATTGCGCCGTCAGTCTGGCGCCGCGGAAGGCTCGCTAGGCTCTTGTCGACGACGAGCTGCGCGCGACGGGGAAGCGGGGGACGTGTGAGAGGCCGAGGGCAGCGGGGGGAGGTGCACAGGAAACACGCACGATAAACTCGCCGCAGATGCAATCTGGGCGGGGCGGGTCAGCTTGTGTCAGGGAGAGGACAATGGGGAAAG